TTCTTTATTAAATAATTATTTTTTAAAAAAATTCTAACAAAGTCATCTTTTTAAATACTGCTGTGAACATAAAACCACTGGAGATAATTTAGGGAAAAATCTAGGTGATTTTGGGTTTGGCAACAACTTTTAAACACAAAATCAAAGTTGGATTTTATTACAATACAAAAGTTCTTCTCAGCAAATGATATTATTGTTAATGGAATGAAAATACAAACCACATACTGGGAAAAAGTATGCATAAAAATATCTCTGGTAAATGACTAGTATAAAAAACACAAAAGGAATCTCAAAATTCAAAACTAAGAAAATGAACAACTTAATTTAAAAAATGGACGAAAGGTTTGTGCAAGACACTTCACTGAGAAAAGACATACAGATGGTAAATAGGCAAATGCAAAGATGATTAACATTCTATGTCTTTGGAAATCTCAAATTACTTTTCTAGATTTCTACATTTCTAGAGCAGCCTTGAAAATCCACAATACTGACAGCACCAGATGCTGGTGAGAATGTGGAGCAACACAGTTGATGTCTGGTAGGGAATGCAACATGGGACTGTCACTTGGGAAGACAGATTAGCAGTGTCTTGCTATGCCACCCAGTAACCACACTGTCACATAAGTCAGAAGGGAAACTGTTTTTATTTTGTCTTGACTTTCAAATGTGTTGTAAGCAGGGAAAATGAGGAAAGGTAAAGAGCAGAATCACCTGTCTTCTGGTGAAAGCAGCTTTGGAAGAGTGTCTGTCTTAGAACTTTTAATTCTCCAAGGGTGTGAGGAGCTTGATTACTCTGATACAACCCACTTTTATCTATCCATTCCCATTTGGGTACCACTGCTTTGGCCATTATTCAGTCTCACCTGGAGAACTTTTAGGGAATTCTCTCTCGCTTCCATTCCTATGGATTTTTGAATCTCTTTCAATACATGTTACCTTTGCCTTCACAGAGTGATTATTGCTGTATGTGGGTACATATGTGCATGGTATTTCACTTGCTAATTGGTCTATGGGCAGATTGACAGAATTTTCATTTTATATTGTAGAATTTAGCAACATATTTAAAACATTGGTTATTAAACATAAGCACTCTAAAAAAGATATGTAAATCCCCTGATGAATAATACTAGAGGCATGTTCATGAGCTGAGAGGGTATCAAGTAAGTATGAAGTGATGAGAAAATATCAGAATAGATTTGAAGCAGTGAGAACAGTTATGTGGTTGCTAGGTGGTTATTATAATATCTCAGTAGTAAATGGCAAAAGACTCAAAGCATGACCTTGGATTGGAAAAAGAGAGAAATATTAGAAGCATTAGGACAGCTAGATTGGAAAGACCAGTGTTCTATTGGATGTGGGTCTGCTGGAGAGATGACTCAGGTCTCTATCTGGTCAACTTTGGGCAGTCACACAGGGTCTTACACTTCATTCTCTTCTATCAGGGTCTTACAATTCTGAATATTTTTGAACAAGAAAACTTACATTTTTTATCCATTATTAAGCATCTCAAATTATATTACTGGTTCTTAGAGATACCATTAACTGAATATGGAATATAAGAATAAGCTAAGTTTTATTCTTGTTACAAGAGCATAAGTGACAACTTTAGCTTAGAACTGACACTAGACAGTGGGATGTCTGCTGAAGGCCTTCAGCCAGTAGCTGCAGATTTTGGCTTTGCCCCTCTCTTAATGGAAGACATCTAGTAAAAGTTGAAGGAGTTGAGATATTTCATAAGCAACCTCTATAGAGCATCCAAGTCCATATGTCCAAAGGACAGAAAGACACATGAGTTTAGAAATCTGAAAAAAAAAAAAATCCAGCTGGAAGAACCACACTGTAGTCACCAGGCTAGAGAAAATGGTCCAAGTCATTGAATGAACGAATAAGCACACTCACGGAGAGGGCACAGAGTAAGCAGAGGGGCAATTCAAATCTTCACTATAAAGGTGACCAATAATCAAGTATAACCAGGAAAAAAAGGAGAGAAGACCCAAATAAGGCAAGCCATGGTGGATGAGATCATGACTTTAAATCAGATTATCAGCGTTTCAGTCCTGGTTTACCATTCATAGAACCATGACACTCAGCTTTATCATAACTTTTCTTAGCTGCAGTGTCCTCAACTAAATAATGGAAATAATGATAGTACCTAACTCACAGGTCTGTTGTGAGAATAAAATGAAATGCACTATGGAAAACCCTTACCTTAGAACTCAGCCGAGATAAAAGTCAAGGATCATTGGCTGCTATTTACCACTGTTATTATTTTACAGCCAATAAAATGAGGAGGAATACATGTAGTGAAAAATGTCAAGGAGAGAAGAGAGTTAAAAAAAAAAGTAGGCAGCAATGTCAGATACCTGAACAGTTCATTAAGAAAAGGACTAGGAAGTCCCCCATTGAATTTAGGAACAAAGAAATAATTAATGAGCTGGAGAAGATTACTCAGTGTACCAGTACTATTTGGGACTTTACTTATCAATTTAGAAACCAAAACTAAATATATCTGATGGTGTTATCAGTAAACAAGTGAACTAAAAAATTTTAATTGGGAACATGTTTCTTTCATTTTCTAAATACTCCTTGGTCAATTTCCAAAAGTCTCAAATACCTAGTCTCAAAGAGATGAAGCCCTTTTTGTATACCCATACTTTTATGGGAAAGCTGACTCTGAATCCAGGACTCTGAAACTCCTGGCCCTACTGATAAGAGGGGAAGTTTCTGGGCACAGCCACATTTCCTCTTGGAAAATAAGAAAGACACCATGCTTTAAGTAGGGTGTGTCTTTGTGTTCTTTACTGAAGAGTAAATTTCCGGGGCTGGGTCTAAAATGGTACAACTTGGACCAGAGTAAAGCTCTATCTAACATCAAGACCCCTAATTCTAAAATATAAAGTCCATAATCTTGGAAAGCATTCCTTCTACAAACATTTATTGAGTGGCAGACACTAGGCTTGCTGCTACAGGAAAACACAACATTGGGTTAGATATGGGTTCTGTTTTTTTACAATTGAATAGGAAAGATGAGGTGAATACATTTGTAATAATCAAACTAGATAGAATTTGAAATGGGAAATGAGCTGATTATAGAATTTTGCAGTGTGAGAATAATTCTAGAAAAGAGTTCTTGGAAGTATTAGCATTTGAGATATGTCTTAAAAGATTAGTTCAGCTATGGACACAAAGTATCATGGAAACCAGAGATAGTATAAATGAAGAGATGAAGTAGGTAGTAGTTAACAGTGGGAAGATCCTATACTGAGAGACAGTAACTCAGGAATGCTGCCAACTCCCAGGATGACATTTGATAAGTCTTTTCATTCCCTTAAATCTTGGGTTGTTCGTATAATGAATGAGGGTGTTGTACCATATCATTTATTCTGCAATGGCTCTTTGAATTCTAATATTTTATGATTTTATAATTATGCAATAAATTCATGGGAGGGTGTAGAGGAAATGGATAGAAAATAACATGACTGGTATAAAAATAGAATTGAGTCATCTTTTCATCTGAGATTGAAGGGAAGATCATGAGGATGACATACAAAGATGGAAAATTTTTATTTAGGAACCATAAGAAATCAATCTTTAAGTTTGGCTGGATATTGAACTAAAGGCTAGTGAATAATTGAAAATGGATCTTAGTTGTCTCCTAATGAACCATTAATATGTTAGGCTGCTTTTGGTACACAAACTTCAGAATTTAAACCTGCCTTGGATCTGTTAGATGAGCTATCACAACAATTCTTTATATATCCCTATATTTATTTTAGGGAAAGGGATGAAGGAGAGATATGTATAGATGAATTAACTTTCAAATAAATTACATTTAAAAAAAATTCAGGGCCCATGAGTGAAAGGCAAGACTTCAGAATCTCCCCAGTGCAGGTTTAGGTCCTGATAGTCATTATGGTGGGTTCCACATTAAAGACAATTGGCACAGATGACAGTTAGCCTGGCAGTCTGATTAGTGAAAGGAGCAATGTTCTGGTGTTACGTCATCCTGATAATAATTACCAGCGCAATACTGGACAGCGCAATTCACATGTGCATGCTTCAGTTTACTAATCTATAAAATAAAACTCAGTACCTATTTTTACATTAAAACCACTTATCTTGAGGCTGGGGTTATGGCTCAGTGGTAGAGCACTCGCCTCACACGTGCAAGGGCCTGGGTTCGATCCTCAGCACCACAAATAAATAAACAAAATAATGCTATAAAAAACCCACTTATCTTAATGATAGGTTCTCAAAAGTTATTTGACAAAAGGAGAGGATTGCGTACAATCACTACGTGTCAATTAAAAATGAAAATATTTTTTAAAATATTAGGTGGTTGAATCAATAGATCTGTTCAGGTTAAATTCAAGTTCATTGGTATCCATTGCTTTATTTGTTATACTCATTCGTTATCCAAGTATAATTTCTTAAAATAAGTTGAAGCAAGCATGATATTAGAATTTGCTGTTTTAAAACGCATCTGAGCTTCTACTCTGCTGTTGGAATCCTCCCCATTCTGCTCACCATCCACTGCTGACCACCGAAATAACACTGAATCTAACTTCTACTTTTAATAGTTACTGCTTTTGGAGAATACTTATGACCCAGTCGTCACCACAAACCAGATTCCCGTCAGTGTACATGTTTCATCAGGTGTAACCAAAAGTCTATTGTATTTCCCCTTTTCCAAGGTTGAACATATATGGTTCTGTTTTAAACCAATCTTCTCATATTGCGTGTGTGAGAATGGGAAGAAGGGATTTTCTTCTTGCAGTGGGTTGTTTGCCTGTTGGTTTTAATCAGCAGTTTTTAATTGTTTACTTATCCTTGTCAGAAAGCAAGTTCAGGGCACTCTGGAATTCAACCTGAGGGCAAGGTTCTCTTCTGTTGCTGAGACATCACACAACCAAATATAGCTTTGAAGCTCCCTTAACCTCAGTCTGTGCTATATATGGACCAATTGTTTCTTCAGTGGCAGCTTCACTGAAGATACTTCAAGTAAAAATATGGAGCCTCAAACAGGAAATTTGAAGACAGCATGGCAGGTGTCTTTGGGAAGCTATTACATTTCTGAGGAGTATGGCTTTCTACTTCCAAATCCTCTGGTAAGCATGGAGTCTTGGATGAGGTTAGAGGAGGTGTCCTGAGATTCTGGTTTATTTGTGTTTTAAATTTATGTCATCATTAAGAGAGAAACAATATAATTTCTAAGTCACTAAACCTGAGAAAGATACTACAAATATCATAGAGTGTATTTACTGACTAGAGAAGTGACAGCTATAGCTGAGGGTAGTTTAAATCAAATGCTTTGGTGCTGGTTTCTCTTAATAGATTGTCATCGATGCCAGGAAAATCTTAAGAAAATCTGTAGTTAGCAAGAAGAACTCTGAATATTGGTAGAAGATGAATTACGTGGACAAATATAGAGCCCTGGGAAGAGTACCATGGTGCTTCTGAGGTGCATTCCATTCCTAAGCAGCTCTGGGACACCACTGATAGCCTATTATGTGAATTAGTTTATCTTACTTGCTAGTGGAAGGAAAAGAGAACAAGAGGAACATTAGGTGCTTTCAGAGCTGATTAAAATGATTAGATGGTATCAGGGATTTCTGAGAAGGAAATTTGAAAACAAACAGTATTTTTTTCTTTCAGTGTGCTTAGCAATCCAAACCATAGTGTAATTCTGTCTTATCAACCAGCTTATCAATACTGGTTTTCTCCTTATATATGATCAGAGACATAGACTACTAAAACAGTATTGGTCCCAGGAAACTATCTGGTACAAAACCCCTCTTTTTACCCCTCTGGCTAGTTGAAGTCCAGAGGGGGTGACATAGCCAAAGTCACATTTCTGGAAAAAGCAAAACTGATACTCAGGGCACTTGATATCTTTGTTCTATTACACTATAGAAAAAGGGTAGGGTCACTCAGTTAAAAAATATAGGGATGATATGTTGTAATCACTGTAACAATTTACTGAACAAACAACCTGCCCCAGCCTAATTTGCCACTTTTTCAGATTAAGGAATTGTCTGGAATTCAAAGAGCTTTTATCAAATACCTATTCTGATGTTTGCTGATGTTTGTTTGCTTCTGAGTGTTACTGGAAGCATTTAAATGAAGATAAGAATTAAATGCTCTGTACAGCATCAAGTCACAGACCTACAAGTACTTGGCATTGGCAGTACAGGGTGTTTTAGATGGATAGGTTTGCAGTCTGGATTACTGGATTGTGTTCTCTGATGCTTCCACTAGGATCACCAACTTTCTTTGTGCTAAATGAATTCCTGTGATGCAGGACTCTGTCGTAAGCTACGAAAGTCCTGGAAAAATCTGAAGGAGTCAATCACTATATCTTGTTCTTACTAATTCTTATGACTTGGGTGACTTTCAAATATCTCCTGACCCTCAGTTTTCACATGGATGGAGATCTGCTGCATAGATATAAATACACTGTGAAGATTTAGTGTAAGGACTAGAAGCCAGTTCTCTTGATCCTTAGATCTTGTAACAACTCCATTCCGTGTGAATAACTATAGTCAAGAATGTTCCCATCCTACCTAGTCTAAAAGGAAGGAAAGATAATTAGCCAACATGATCTTGTTGAGGTTAAATATAAAAAAAAAATGAGCTCAGGAAAAATATTACGAAGTTGGTAAACACTGGGTGGAGCCACAATTGTAGAGTTCCTCTCTTTGTTGTTTCCTTTTTAAAAAAAGAATAAATATTGGAGCCAGATGAGAAACAATAACAACATCAAGTTCTCATGATATTCTGAGTCAGATAGAATTGTGGTGTGGTTTGGTTGATGGATAACCCTTAGAAATTTCCATTCCTGAGCTCACGTAAAAAATTCCCTGGTCTTAACTGTCAGAGTCATACTTCCCAGATCTCTTAAAGTGTAACTCTTTGTTTCACTTTTAATTTTCTTTCATTCGTGCTGAGATTTCAAGCATCTCCTTTTCTGGGAAGAGATAGAGGAAGGAAATTTTCTTGAGAATCTACCCCAAGTTGCCTCACAGATCAGGAGACTCAGTCCCCAGCATCACCAGGGGCAGCAGTGTTGCAACCCATCACAAACCAGGAATCAGCAGTCAACACCTCTAGTCAAGAGCACAACTGTGCCTTGCTTTCCTTCCATTTAAGGGCAAGTGTTAGAAGGGGTGTTTCTCCATGTCAGCTGGCCTCAAAGGGGTTCATCTGGCATCTCTTCCAGGTGGACTTTGGTTTTGGTACTCTAGATGCTTATTTGAAGGTTTCTCTAAAGAACTTAATGTATAGGAAAATATTTGGCTTTGGGGGAGAAGGCTGACTTGGTTTTAAATATTCTAACCTGCTGTTTTCTATAAATTCTCAAACATTTCCAAGTTCCAAAATTTCAGGTTGGACAACTGATAGATATAAATCAACCACAGAAATCCTTTGCCAGATCATGTTTCCTGTGTGTGTGTGTGTGTGTGTGTGTGTGTGTGTGTGTGTGTGTATGCAGGGCTTTATTTCCTTTAGACAAAGAACATTGGA